AAGGTGGGCATAGTGGGAATCTATAGAAGGTGGGCATCGTGGGAATATATGAAAAGTGGGCATGGTGGGAATCTAAAGAAGGTGGGCATGGTGGGAATTGGGCATCGTGGGAATGTATGAAAAGTGGACATGGTGGGAATCTAAAAAAGGTGGGCATGGTGGGAATTGGGCATCGTGGGAATGCATGAAAGGTGGGCATGGTGGGAATCTATAGAAGGTGGGCATCGTGAGAATGTATGGAAAGTGGGCATGGTGGGAATTGGGCATTGTGAGAATGTATGAAAAGTGGGCATGGTGGGAATCCAAAGAAGGTGGGCATGGTGGGAATTGGGCATCGTGGGAATGTATGAAAAGTGGGCATGGTGGAAATCTAAAGAAGGTGGGCATGGTGGGAATTGGACATCGTGGGAATGTATGAAAAGTGGACATGGTGGGAATTGGGCATCGTGGGAATACATGAGAAGTGGGCATGGTGGGAATCTTGTTTTCAGAATTTTTTTCTCGACCTGGCAACGTTGCGCTCTTCGGCAATCTTCGTAATCGTCGACATGAAGGTGGGCATCGTAGCAATTGGGCATCGTGGGAATTGGGCATCGTGGGATGCTCCCCCATAAGAATGACTAGCGTCTGCCGAGAGAACGCAAGTAATAAATTGGTTTTATTTCCCGTTGCTCACTTCTCACACTGTAATTCTGACTTTATATTATGGAGCATAGCTGCCCTTGAGGCTGTCCTCAAAGCGGGACCAACTTCTGTCTCTATAAATATATGAATCATCGCTGCCCTCAATGCAGGACCAACTTCTGTCTCTATCTGTGGTCTCTATAGGTAACGAAATCGACCAATAGGCGCTGATGCCGACGTAGGGAAAAAATAATACGACAATATGGCTACTTATTTCAAATTTTCCATCCTTCACTTTCCGTCTTTCCGTCCTTATAGATTCAGAAAGTACCTCTCATTATGGTCCCATTTTGGTTGAGATATCATCAATTTACATTCAGTTCATTGATACTCCAGCTCACTAGATTTTTTCTCTATTTAGCAGACAATGGATAATGGATATCATATAGGCGATGAGCCATATATAGAAATAGTACTTATATGAGGTAACGAAATCGACCAATAGGGTTGATGCCGACGTAGGAAAAAAATAATACAAAACTTGTCAAATATATTATGCAAACTCAATATGTGACAGAACTATTGTTTTCGCGATAAGCACACGTTGTTGCTTGTGATTGGTGATTGGTCAGACTATGTGATGAGTGAAATCATTATATGTACTATTTCTATACAGGGTGTTTCATAGGTAAAGGGAAATATTTCAATAGTAGATAGGGGTGACCAAGGTGGTTCTGTAAATACCATATTTGATAGGTCTTAGAGTCTTCATAACGGAGATACAGGGCGATTTATCGATTTCGAATAATTATTCATTCGTCTATATCTATTGTCCTACCCAGTATATTTTTCTCAAATTTGGTAAGAAGCTTATACTTGGGACGTTGAATTTATTCACCTATCGGGCGGAGTGAAAATCCAGGTTCGGCTTCAGGAAAAATTTACATTTATTAGAAATATTAAAATAACACACTGTATATTCAATAATTAACACAGTACATCAAAAGAATTGTGAAAATGAGGAAAAACTGAATTGTGTATGATGCTTTCTGTTTTCCCGCCACCAATTCTCATCGTAACAATCATAAACAGAAAGTTGAAAGTATTTCAATTTGAAGAGAATTGGAATTATGAAACCAGTGTCAATTATGATTATTTGATATTTCAGTCAAAAAATCTCTCGAAAGAACTCACTAATTCTCACAGTCTGTATAAGTCTTAAACTACCCAGTAACATTTTCTCAAATTTGGTAGGTATGTAGCTCACTTGGGACGATGGATTCATTAACCTATCAGGCGGAATGGAAATAATACCAAATAATTATAATTCGATAATTCACCCTGTATCTCTGTCATAAAGACTATGAGACTTTTCCTGAAGCTGAACCTGTATTTCCATTCTGCCTGATAGGTCAATGAATCCATCGTCCCAAGTAAGCTCAATACCAAATTTGAGAAAATATCACTGCGATGGGTAGTCTAATACTTATATGGACGAGTGAATAATTATTCGAAACCGATAATTCACCCTGTATCTCTGTTATAAAGACTGTGAGATTGATTAAGTTCTTTCGAACGATCATTTAACAAGAATATATCAAATAATCATAATTGAAAGTGGTTTCATAATTTCAATACTCTTCAAATTGACATACTTTTAGCTTTCTGTTTATGATTGTTACGATGAGAATTGGTGGCGGGAAAACAAAAAGCATCAAATCCAGTTCAGTTTTTCTTCCTCTTCACGATTCCTTTGATGAACTCTGTCAATTATTACATACAGTGTGTTATTTTAATATTTCGAATAAATGTAAATTTTTCCTGAAGCCGAACCTGGATTTTCACTTCACCCGATAGGTGAATGAATTCAACGTCCCAAGTATAAGCTCCATACCAAATTTTAGAAAAATATACTGGGTAGTTCAATACTTATAGACGAATGAATAATTATTCGAAATCGATAAATCGCCCTGTATCTCCGTTATGAAGACTCTAAGACCTATCAAATATGGTATTTTCAGAACCACCTTGGTGACCCCTATGTACCATCGAAATATTTCCCTTTACCTATGAAACACCCTGTATATGGCTCATCGCCTATACGATATCTCAACAAAAATTGGACCAAAATGAGAGGTACTTTTTGAATCTATAAGGACGGAAAGTGAAGGATGGAAACAACCATACAACCAAACAAGTTTCGTATTATTTTTTCCCTACGTCGGCATCAACGCCTATTGGTCTATTCCGTTACCTATAGAGACAGAAGTTGGTCCCGCCGGTTTGGAGACAACTATATAGTTCATCAAATCAAACAGAGAAAGGACCCCGCACTTTTAGTACGTAAAATGGTTCTCGGTGAATTTTTCTGAATTTTCAGTATGTTCTAGAATTCGATGAACTGATTGAACCTGCAGAATCGTAAAGTTCTTTGATGAACAGATTCTGAGATACAGGGCGTTGAAGTTACAAATCGGTATTTTTCATTTAATTATTTTCTCGAAATTCAAAGATGCCAAGTACAATTTTCTTCGCTCATATCATTAACGAACCTCCATATTACTCAACATATTCAGATGGTTCAAATGATGTAATTGTTTACAGAGTGAAACATATAAACATTTCAGTGATGTCTGAAAATTCGATGTAATAATGAAATATCGAAAAAATAATTTAGGCATGCAATATACTATTCTCATTCCATCATGAATCACAATTCATACATTTTATACAGGGTGATTTGCAAAATTGGTGACACCTAAGACCGATTTATCCATACACATCCTGTATATTCGAGTGAATTGTTAACCTCCCAAGATAGCTGATACCGTATGAACATGATTTCGTTGAGATATATAGGGTGATCATGAAGATTTTCGATGATGAAAATGACAAAAAATCGTGTTTTTTGTAATCACCCTGTTATTCATGATTAACTCGGTGAAATTCTCTAATTATTTTTTAATATACTCATCATTCGCTCCTCAACGCTGTATTGAAAATTCAGTTTCCTATCATGACGGGTGTCATAGTTATTAATTCAGGAACTTTGCATGAAGAGTTGAAGAGACTTGTTCACTTACAGTTCCTGAATTAATAACTATGACACCCGTCATGATAGGAAACTGAATTTTCAATACAGCGTTGAGGAGCGAATGATGAATGTATTAAAAAATAATTAGAGAATTTCACCGAGTTAATCATGAATAACAGGGTGATTACAAAAAACACGATTTTTTGTCATTTTCATCATCGAAAATCTTCATGATTACCCTATATATCTCAACCAAATCATGTTCATACGGTATCAGCTATCTTGGGAGGTTAACAATTCACTCGAATATACAGGATGTGTATGAATAAATCGGTCTTAGAGGTCACAAATTTTTCAAATCACCCTGTATGAAATGCATGAATTGTGATTCATGATGGAATGAGAATAGTATATTGCATGCCTAAATTATTTTGTCGATATTTCATTATTACATCGAATTTTCAGACATCACTGAAATGTTTATATGTTTCACTCTGTAAACAATTACATTATCTGAACCATCTGAATCATGTTGAGTAATATGGAGGTTCGTTAATGATATGAGCGAAAAAAATTTTACTTGGAATCTTTGAATTTCGAGAAAATAATTAAATGAAAAATACCGATTTGTAACTTCAACGCCCTGTATCTCAGAATCTGTTCATCAAAGAACTTTACGATTCTGCAGGTTCAATCAGTTCATCGAATTCTACAACATACTGAAAATTCAGAAAATTTCACCGAGAACCATTTTACGTACTAAAAGTGCGGGGTCCTTTACTTAAAATGTGTCAATTGTCATGTCAATATCCTGCCAATGACGGCTAAATGGACTGTCTGACGGGTAGTACTCGTCAGACAGTCCATTTAGCCGTCATTGATCCTGCTAATCGCTGGATTCTCTCAAGGCAAAAATTGAATGTGCGTATTTGTTGTTTATATTCAGTTCATTGATTGTATAACAGCAGTTTTATGGGTTTCCATCTTAGATCATAAAGGGAAACATTTCAGCGAAATTTTGCAACTATTTTATTGTAAATTCAATTCAAGCGCATGTGCCTGACAAATAGTATGTTTCGTTAATTTACCGTGGTTACCGATGCTTTCAGGGCCGGTTATAAATAATACATATATGGCTGGTACCCAAGGGCCGGTACCCAAGGAGTATAATCCTTGGGCCGGTACCAGCAATTTTGACATGTGACCATGAACTGTGGTTTATTTACGGAATGCCAGTCATTTGTCAAATTATAGTTTTGACATCTCAGTTTTGACCGTTTATTAAACATTCATGCCTCCTAAAAGAAGAAGAAGAAAAAGAAAACCTCAAAGCTCAGCGATTACAGAAAAACTGAGAAAAACGAAAATACAATGTCAGTTATGGAAGATTTCCCCGAAAAGAACAAACATTCTAAAACTGCAGTAATAAATTGCTTGGAAGATCTTGGCTGCTGTTCTCGATGTATTGTCAGATTCCTCGAAGAAAAACACCCTGAAGAAAACCCAAAGCCTTTTCTGAATGCAAACAATTTCTTAATGGTACATATTTTTTTCATCAAGTTTTACTGGACTTTTATATTATTCCAGTCTTATTTCAGGAAATTACTGGCTTCAAGGATGTAGTTTCTGAGCCTTCCATTAAAAGAAGAAGAGACAATCTTTGTAGAACTTGTCTTGGTATATTAGAAGACTCCACCATTGAAAAATATTTGGGATCATTATCCTTGGATGCTATGAGTAAATACAAATATTCTGATTATCACTTGCTCATAAGTTTACCAAAAACAATACTTCTCAGGGAGCGAAGTTTATTATTATATTTGAGAGATTGTTTTCCAGACACATATCACAAATGTGAAAGTAAGTTTCTGATTATCAATGTTTTGTTTAGTATATGATAAATTTGCCAGCAATTTCATAATGTTTCCATTACTTATTCTTATTTATTCATTTTTTTCTAAGGCACTCTATATTCTACAATTTTTCATCTCTCCTATTATTTGGTATTTTTTAAAATCAGGTACTTTTTTCTAATTTTGTTCATTTATTTTTATTTTTTATAGTACTAAAGTCTGTGGTGAGGTAGATAAGTGGTGATTTTTTTTTTAAATTAATTTCAAGATTTTCCCAATATCCATATTTCCTCATATTTGTATTGATTCCCTATAATGATACAGGGTCAGTCAGAATAAGACAGGACAGTTTATACTCAGATTTCTCATTCCTTCAAATCTAGGACAAAAATATGTATAAATTGGCTCAATCTTCCTGAAGTTTTACATGCACCTAGATGATTTTCAGTTCAAAATCAGTCAATTTTTGAAATTAGTGAGAAAATATGCCTTATTCTTTGGATCCAGGAAAAAAATACAGATTCAAAATCTTCATGACATCTTACATGAGCCTAGAAGGTTTTGTTTTTCAAAATTAGGCAACTTGGAATTTGGTGAGAGAAATATGCAAATTTGCTATTCTTCAGGTCTTGGACAAAAATTCGTATTGATTAGGAATCCTCCTAATGGTTTCCAATTCAAAATTGAGCAATTTTTGAAATTGGACAGGAAAATAATCCAACTTAGTCATCCTTTGGATCTAGGACACAAGATATGTGTAGATTCAGAAACCTCCTGACATTTCAGGTGTGTCTAGATGGAATTCTTTGCAAAATTAGTCAATTTTTGGAATTTTGCAATAAACATATGTAAACTTGTTATCTAGCTTGTTATTCTTTGGATCCAGGACAAAAATATGTATAGAATTGGAATCATCCTAGCATTTTACATGCGCCCAGATGGTTTTCAAAATTCAATTTCAAAATTCAAAATTAAGCAATTTTTTAAATTGGACAGGAAATAAATCAGAGCTGGGCAAATACTGTGAGAAAAATATTTAAATATTAAGTATTAAATACTTTTGGGATATTGAAAATATTTAATTATTGAATATTTTCAAAAGCCAAAGAGTATTTAAATAACAATACAAAAGTATTCAAATAGTTCACAATATGTATTTAAATACTTTCAAAGTATTTGACTATTTTCAACGTATTTAAATACTTTCAAAGTATTTAAGTATTTCCAAAGTATTCAAATACTTTCAAAGTATTCAAATATCCTCAAGGATTTGAATACATTCATGTTACTTGATTGTTTTTGACGTTTTTATACACCTTGTGTAATGTAGATTTGAATAATTAGCAAAAGTATGAAAATATGAATAATTTTGTGTACTGCACTAGGAGGGCGTCACTTTGTCAAAACCCGACATCAATAAAAAAGGATGATGAGTGATTAGTGACTTACTCACTTACCTATGTATATTGTTAGACATAATTAAAATTTATTTTTACTCGATTTCTTTGGGTTTTCTATACTTGTCTCTGAAAATGTATGAAGCCCATTTGTTATGAGACCCCGGAACGGGACATTACTATTCACTGAAGGTGACTAGGAACAGCTTTAACTGCTTCCACCTCCCCAGTTGCAGCACAACGGTCTTCATAATAAAAAATTCCACATGGGGCTTGTGACTTTGAGTCGGTTGTTTAGAGGGTGAAAAAGTTTGAAAAGCAAGACAATCCGCAGGGACTGACGTCTAGAATCTGACTTCTAGTGGTGTTTATCTGATTTTTGGGGCTTATTGGTTTCTTGAAAATAGGAATCATAAAGATTTTACATTACTTGAAATAGTTACTATTCCTGTATTTGATCTAGATGGGTGAGAATTCGTGATTGTTTCGGGCCAGAATCAACCGATATTCTCTTTTGGGGTTTTGTGTAGTGAGCTTACCTGTCCAAGAGTTGGGTTCTTGGACGTTTGTGCCTTTCTCGGAATCGAGGATCTTGGTTTGTCGCCTCCCTGACGCGAGGATTTTTGTGATTTTCCATTCCTGCGAATGTTTTCACGGCATGAATTTTCATCTTGTCCAGTATCTTGGTGTGGTTAAGATCTCTGAAGATGACATCGTTCCGGACGAACCAGGGGGCGTTGCCTATCATCCTCAGGGTGGTGTTCTCGAATCTTTGGACTCTTATCAAGTATGACTGAGCACAATGTCCCCAAGCCACTGACGCGTAGGTCAATATGGGCAGGAGAACTGTTTTCATTAGCAGGAGTTTCAGATCCAGTCTCATTTGGCTGTTGCGTCCTATGAGAGGAGACAGATGCGCTCTGGCTCCAGCGGCTAATCGCAAGCAATCTTCCACATGGGTTCTGAACGTCATCCTCTTGTCTATTTCTACTCCCAGATACTTGGCTTTGGGGTTTTTGATAGAATTCATTGTTATGACCTGTTCTATCATACTAACTTGAAAGAACTGATTTCACCATTGTTATAGGCATCTTTTGTAGTTGAAGTTTTGTCAATTTTCAAAAAGTCAGTGTCAGTTGTGAGATGAAATAAAGAGATTCATAAAAATATGCAGTTCAGTTTATAGTTTGCGGTGATAAATTGATAAAGATATCCACACAAGATCCATAGGCCTCAACAGGTTATGGGCCCAGATTGTCCAGATACAAAATAAGGAAAAACAAAGAGCTGCAATCAGCTAAGCAAAAGCGAGGGGAACTGAGACAATAAAAATGGGTTCACTAGTCATACCGATCTTGGAAGCAAATAACTTCAACAACTGGTTGTTCAGGATAAGGATGATCTGTAGAAAGGAAGGATGTATAGAAGCACTGGAGAAAGAACCACCACAATCGACAGAATCAGCTACAGTAACGGCAAATTTCCAAAAGGAATATGCTAAAGCACAAGCAATTATCGTCACAGGGCTATCAGATAAACATCTCGATATTGTCAAAGATTGTGAGAGTGCGAAGACGCAAATTGAAGCTTTGAAGAATGTATTTACTCGAACAACTTCTTTGACTAAGTGGCATGCTGGAGAAGATTAATAAATGGTTCAAGTTTCGTTTAGCTGAAATCAGTTATGGAAAATTTGTTGCTATGGCAACCGTTGTCATGGTAACAGGTTAACAGAAAACAAAATCCCGTGGTGAGGAAATGCATGGTTGCCAAGTTGTATCGGGTTTAGTATAGCTGAAATCAGTTATGGAAAAACTGTTGCCATGGCAACGATCGTCATGGTAAGGAGTAAACAAAAACCCGATTCCCGTGGTGAGGAAATGCGTGGTTGCCAAGTTGTATCGGGTTTTGTTTGACTGAAATTAGTTATGGAAAAACTATTGCCATAGCAACGATCGTCATGGTAACGAGTAAACAAAAATCCGAATCCAGTGGTGAGGAAATGCGTGGTTGCCAAGTTGTATCGGGTTTAGTAAAGCTGGAATCAGCGCAATCTTCGACCCTCAAATTTTTTTCTGCTAGTATTCAAACAATAACTTGATTCGAATGAATACCCTTCTTATCAATTTCTTGAAGACTGTTCGTCGTTGATTAATTCCCAAATTACTACTTCTCTGACGATCTTTATGGAAATAACGTCAGGAAAAAATTGGCTTTGTTATTGAACAGAGCTAGACAAAATAGCGAGCGACAAAATAGTGCGGAACAAATAGCGCATAAGGAAGGACACTACTTTTTCTAAACAATCTGACCTAACTCGGCTTAAATGAACCTTCTTAGAAAAAATATATTTTTCAACATCGATCAGATTTGGTAGCAAGGCATCGTTCGTATGTGTTTGAAGACTGCATAAAAAAGGACACTACTTTTTCCAAACAATCTAACCTAACTCGACTTAAATCAACCTTCTTCTTGAAAAACATATATTTTCCAACATCGTTCAGATTTGGTAGCAAGGCATCGTTCGTGTATGTTTGAAGACTGTTGCTGAATATTCCAAAATGTCTCTGTTTCTTTTTGATTTTGTCGAATAGCTCGGCACGCGAAGAATGGTTACATTGAAGAGTGTTTTTGAAATAAATGAATGAAGCAATAATTCTCCGATACAAATTGGCAACCACGCATTTCCTCACCTTGGAAATCGGATATTTTCTTTACTCGTTACCATGACGATCGTTGCCATGGCAATAGTTTTTCCATAACTGATTTCAGTCAAACTAAACCCAATACAACTTGGCAACCACGCATTTCCTCACCACGGGAATCGGGTTTTTGTTTACTCCTCACCATGACGATCGTTGCCATGGCAACAGTTTTTCCCTAACTGATTTCAGCTATACTAAACCCGATACAACTTGGCAACCACGCATTTCCCCACCACGGGAATCGGGTTTTTGTTTACTCGTTATCATGACGGTCGTTGCCATAGTAACAGTTTTTTCATAACTGATTTCAGCTAAACGAAACTTGAGCCTAATAAATCTCAAAAATGAGCAGTATGAAAATATGGAAGATTTATTTTTGAAATTCGACACCATTGTGAGAGACCTCAAAGAACACAAGACAGAACTCAGTGATAGTGACAAAGTATGTCACTTATTATTGTCATTACATGAAAAGTATGACTCAGTAGTCACAGCATTAGAAACTATAGAAAGTGTGAAATTTGATTTTGTGAAATCACGTCTTCTAGATGAAGAGCTCAAACTGAATTCAAGATGTGAAGAATCAAGCAGTTTTAAAGCCTCAGCAGGTTGTTTTAAGTGTGGAAGTCAATCACATTGGCAGTCTACGTGCCCAAAAAATAAGGAATCATGGCATAGAGGTGGTTACAATAGAAGAACAAGAGGAGGAAGATCATATAGAGGTGGTTATCGCAACTATAGACGGAATGAGAGGGAAGATAAACAAGCACACATGACAGAAGAGGAAGAAGATGAAGTACAGCTGTATGCAGCAAATCTATGTTCAGAAATAGATGGTGAAATAAAGAGATTCATAAAAATATGCAGTTCAGTTTATAGTTTGCGGTGATAAATTGATAAAGATA